CGTGAATTGAACCTCACATCGGCGGAAGAGAGAAGAGTTAAGGGAGACATGATTACCACATACAAAATTCTCAGGGCAATTGTGTAAATAAAGATAGGCTATTCAACACGGGTGGGACACGAACAAGGGGACACAGGTGGAGACTGAGTACCCACATGAGCCACAGAGACGTTAGAAAGAATTTTTTCAGTGTCAGAGTAGTTAATAAATGGAATGCATTAGGCAGTGATGTGGTGGAGGCTGACTCCATACACAGTTTCAAGTGTAGATATGATAGAGCCCAATAGGCTCAGGAACCTGTACACCAGTTGATTGACGGTTGAGAGGCGGGACCAAAGAGCCAGAGCTCAACCCCCGTAAACACAATTAGAGGAGCGAACACAAATATTCTCTAGAGACGTCAATATATTATTGTTTTATCGAGAGAACCATATATCACATTCAGCCCCAGGACCTCGTTAGCTGTCTGTCCCGGGACGGCGGCCAGTCTGTCCCAGGACGGCGGCCTGTCTGTCCCGGGACGGCGGCCTGTCTGTCCCAGGACGGCGGCCTGTCTGTCCCGGGACGGCGGCCCAGGACGGCGGCCTGTCTGTCCCAGGACGGCGGCCCGTCTGTCCCGGGACGGCGGCCCGTCTGTCCCAGGACGGCGGCCCATCTGTCCCAGGACGGCGGCCCGTGTGTCCCGGGACGGGCGCCATGACCGCTAAAGCCACTCATATATCTCCCTGGCTGATAAAGGTATATTGCCTTACTGAACAAATAATATTTAACACACCGTCGACGAAGGAGCACCAATAATAGCATAACTGGGCGCTAATTACTCATAGGATGACGAGTGTGGCTGGAAGACCTGGGGCCAGATTCACGAAGTAGTTACGCAAGCTCTTACGAACCTGTCCATCTTTTCTCAATCTTCGACGGCTTTGGTTACATTTATTAAACAGTTTACAAGCATGAAAACTTGCCAATCAACTGTTGTTATTGTTATAAACAGCCTCCTGGTGCTTCGGAGCTCATTAACTGTTTAATAATTGTAAACAAAGCCGCCAAAGATTGAGTAAAGATGGACAGGTTCGTAAGTACTTGCGTAACCTGCTTCGTGATTCTGGGTCTTGGGTTAATTGGTGCTGTTAGACCAGTCTGGTATCGCCAGCGTCCCTAACGTCAAGAAACGGTCGTGTTAAACTGCCTGATCCTAACCAACCAGAGGATCCACCAACGAGACATTGTGTCAGTTTTGTGAATTTGAATTTTTGAATTTTTGAATTTGAATTTTTAAATTTGAATTTTTGAATTTGAATTTCGCGAGCCGCCACCATGTTCTAATACGACAGTTTTTGGCCTTAGGTCGAGTAAAGTTGAAAATGTGACGTGTTATTAGGAGAACGGATTGAAGCTTTGTAGGCAGCCCAATACGGGCTCACCAAAGCCCGTGCTACTTGGAACTTTTTATTCCAGGTAGCGAATCTTAAACAACAAACAAACCGTTCTCCTAAGGTCCCCCCAACGTTAAGAAAACGGCCAATTTACAGTGGTCTCTCCTAACCTACCAGAGGACCCACAACAGAAAACGGGACAGTGCGTCACTATCGCCAGCCGCTTTCATTGTCTTGTGTGACAATTTTTGGCCTTATGTAACGCCTACGGTCGAAAAGAGACGTTGTTTGTGAGAGGACAGCCCGCCCCTGCCAGCCCGCCCCTGCCAGCCCGCCCCTGCCAGCCCGCCCCTGCCAGCCCGCCCCTGCCAGCCCGCCCCTGCCAGCCCGCCCCTGCCAGCCCGTCCCTGCCAGCCCGCCCCTGCCAGCCCGCCCCTGCCAGCCCGCCCCTGCCAGCCCGCCCCTGCCAGCCCGCCCCTGCCAGCCCGCCCTGCCAGCCCGCCCCTGCCAGCCCGCCCACCAGCCCAACCCTGCCAGCCCGCCCCTGCCAGCCAACAATCACCCACCACCACACTAACAATCACCCACCACACCAACAATCACCCACAACGCCAACAATCACCCACCACGCCAACAATCACACACCACGCCAACAATCACCCACCACACCAACAATCACCCAAAACGCCAACAATCACCCACCACGCCAACAATCACCCACCACATCAACAATCACCCACCACACAAACAATCACCCACAACAACAACAATCACCCACCACATCAACAATCACCCACCACACCAACAATCACCCACAACACCAACAATCACCCACCACATCAACAATCACCCACCACACCAACAATCACCCACAACACCAACAATCACCCACCACATCAACAATCACCCACCACACCAACAATCACCCACAACACCAACAATCACCCACCACATCAACAATCACCCACCACACCAACAATCACCCACAACACCAACAATCACCCACCACATCAACAATCACCCACCACACCAACAATCACCCACAACACCAACAATCACCCACCACATCATCAATCACCCACCACACCAACAATCACCCACCACGCCAACAATCACCCACCACGCCAACAATCACTCACCACACCAACAATCACTCACCACACCAACAATCACCCACCACGCCAACAATCACCCACCACGCCAACAATCACTCGCCACACCAACAATCACCCACAACGCCAACAATCACCCACCACACCAACAATCACCCACAACACCAACAATCACCCACCACGCCAACAATCACCACACCAACAATCACCACACCAACAATCACCCACCACGCCAACAATCACCCACCACGCAAACAATCACTCACCACACCAACAATCACCCACAACACCAACAATCACCCACCACGCCAACAATTACTCACCACACCAACAATCACCCACAGCACCAACAATCACCCACCACGCCAACAATCACCCACCACGCCAACAATCACTCACCACACCAACAATCACCCACCACGCCAACAATCACCCACCACGCCAACAATCACTCACCACACCAACAATCACCCACAACACCAACAATCACCCACCACACCAACAATCACCCACAACACCAACAATCACCCACCACGCCAACAATCACCACACCAACAATCACCCACAACACCAACAATCACCCACCACGCCAACAATCACCCACCACGCCAACAATCACTCACCACACCAACAATCACCAACAACACCAACAATCACCCACCACGCCAACAATTACTCACCACACCAACAATCACCCACAACACCAACAATCACCCACCACGCCAACAATCACCCACCACGCCAACAATCACTCACCACACCAACAATCACCCACCACACCAACAATCACCCACAACGCCAACAATCACCCACCACGCCAAAAATCACTCACCACACCAACAATCACCCACAACACCAACAATCACCCACCACGCCAACAATCACCCACCACGCCAACAATCACTCACCACACCAACAATCACCTACAACACCAACAATCACCCACCACGTCAACAATCACTTACAACACCAACAATCACCCACCTCGCCAACAATCACTCACCACGTCAACAATCACCTACCACACCAACAATCACCCAAAACACCAACAATCACCCACCACACCAACAATCACCCACAACGACAACAATCACCCACTACACCAACAATCACCCACCACACTAACAATCACTGACCACACCAACAATCACCCACCACACCAACAATCACCCACAACACTAACAATCACCCACATCGCCAACAATCACCCACCACACCAACAATCACCCACCACGCCAACAATCACTGACCACACAAACAATCACCCACCACACCAACAATCACCCACCTCGCCAACAATCACCCACCACACCAACAATCACCCACCACACCAACAATCACCCACCACACCAACAATCAAACACCACGCCAACAATCACTGACCACACCAACAATCACCCACCACACCAACAATCACCCACCACACCAAAAATCACCCACCACACCAACAATCACCCACCACACCAACAATCACCCACCACGCCAACAATCACCCACCACACCAACAATCACCCACCACACCAACAATCACCCACCACGCCAACAATCACCCACCACACCAACAATCACCCACCACACCAACAATCACCCACCACGCCAACAATCACTCACCACGCCAACAATCACTTACCACGCCAACAATCACTCACCACACCAACAATCACTCACCACACCAACAATCACCCACCACACCAACAGTCATCCACCACACCAACAATCACCCACCACACCAACAATCACCCACCACACCAACAATCACCCACCACACCAACAATCACCCACCACACCAACAATCACCCACCACACCAACAATCACCCACCACGCCAACAATCACTGACCACACCAACAATCACCCACCACACCAACAACAATCACCCACCACGCCAACAATCACTGACCACACCAACAATCACCCACCACACCAACAATCACTCACCACACCAACAATCACCCACCACACCAACAATCACTCACCACACCACCAACAATCACCCACCACACCAACTATCACCCAGCGATCATACTCGTCCAGCCACACCACGTACCAACAGCAACAGTCTGGTATACCACCAACACCTCGCGCACGACCGACGCTGCTTCTCGATCCCTTATACAAGGAGGTCGGAACGCTTCGCCGGCGATTGGATCCTCCATCAACCAGCCTTTACGATGCTATTTTGTTTCTCTTGCTCCACCGCGGGGTTTAATCCCCTACAAGTTTATTATTTTGTGACTGGAACCCCGGCCCGCTTTTGGGCAGGACAGTTTGCGAATGGCCCTTGAAATTAGATCCTGTACGATTCACGCCTCGAATCGGTGTAATTACTCGCGTCGAGAAGAATAAGCGAATTGAAACCCTGATCGGGATAGCGGCGATGCGGGGAATTAGCCTCGACAGCGTGCCAACAACCCTGGCTTGTAAATCACTCTGGAATGAACATTGAAAAGTTGCTATTAAATCGATCCCGCGAGAGCAAGAGACAGCTTTGCAACGCTGCTAACTTAGGGGCGTCATTCCTGAAGTGAATGTGTACCAAGATGGACCTTATGAGGCCGCAGCCGTTGGGTCAGGGAGGCGTGGGAGTGGCCGGCTAGGTCAGAGGTCACTGGGTGCTGCAGGGTGCATCTCAGAGGTGTTAAAGGATCACGCTTAATTGAAGGGTTGAGAGTGGCGTAGATGGTCCAGCCAATCTCACATCCACGCTTTACAAGGCGTAATTAACATATGTTTTACATAGGATAAGTAACACGAGGTTAACGCGGTATACCTAACATGGGGTTAACATGGGGTTAACATGGGGTTAACTTGGGGTTAACATGGGGTTAACATGGAGTTAACATGGGGTTAACATGGAGTTAACATGGGGTTAACATGGAGTTAACATGGGGTTAACAGGGAGTTAACATGGAGTTAAGATGGGGTTAACATGGAGTTAACATGGGGTTAACATGGAGTTAACATGGAGTTAACATGGGGTTAACATGGATTTAACATGGGGTTAACATGTTAAAGATTTTTGGGTTAACATGGGTTAACATGAGCCATAGAGACGTTAGAAAGAATTTTTTCAGTGTCAGCGTGGTTGACAAATGGAATGCATTAGGCAGTGATGTGGTGGAGGCTGACTCCATACACAGTTTCAAGTGTAGATATGATAGAGCCCAATAGGCTCAGGAACCTGTACACCTGTTGATTGACAGTTTGATTTCTTGACCGTTTTTGATTTTTGAACATTAACTCATGTTAAAGATGTAAATTCAGCTAATAGTTCCTTTCCATTTTATGTTATCTCATTAATATATATTGTATCTGTTTACACAGATCCACTGAACTGATTTATTTAGTTTTAATAGATACGAGGGACGTATATTGCTTAGAGTCAGTTAAGACCTGGTTAAATACTGGGTTGGAGAAAGGGATGTAATATTTGGAACAGATTACCGGTTAATGTGATAGACTCGGGGTTCGATTCGTTGTTTCAAGCGTAGGTTAGACATATACATGAATGAGTTTGGGAGGATATGTATAGGATCCGCCTTGTATGGACCAATAGGAGCTCTGTTAGATCACTCTAGATTACCATGGAGCAGGGATACCAACATTGAGAGGAGCAGGGATACCAACCTTGTGAGGAGCAAGGATGCCAACCTTGTGAGGAACAGGGATACCAACATTGAGAGGAGCAGGGATACCAACCTTGTGAGGAACAGGGATACCAACCTTGAGAGGAGCAGGGATACCAACCTTGTGAGGAGCAGGGATACCAACGTTGTGAGGAGCAGGGATACCAACCTTGAGAGGAGCAGGGATACCAACCTTGTGAGGAGCAAGGATGCCAACCTTGAGAGAAGCAGGGATACCAACCTTGAGAGGAGCAGGGATACCAACCTTGTGAGGAGCAGGGATACCAACCTTGTGAGGAGCAGGGATACCAACCTTGAGAGGAGCAGGGATACCAACGTTGGGAGGAGCAGGGATACCAACGTTGCGAGGAGCAGGGATACCAACCTTGAGAGGAGCAGGGATACCAACCTTGTGAAGAGCAGGGATACCAACCTTGTGAGGAGCAGGGATACCAACCTTGAGAGGAGCAGGGATACCAACATTGTTTCAGAATTAAGGTCTAATGACCATCTTGTTGTTGTTAATCTCCATTAAGGAACTCTGAACTACTGGTCTCTAATATTAGCCAGTGATTACATTCTAATTAATACTTCATTTCAATATACAGGATTGAAGAATGTAATAATTGCTTAGCTGCATGGATCTGAAGTGTCGACTTGCAGGAAGACGAGGCTTCCAAGTGATCTTAGGCGGGGCTTCCAAGTGATTTTAGACTAAGCTTCCGAGTGATCTTAGACGAGGCTTCCGAGTGATCTTAGACGAGGTTTCCAAGTGATCTTAGACGAGTGTTTCCGAGTGATCTTAGACGAGGTTTCCAAGTGATCTTAGACGAGTGTTTCGGAGTGATCTTAGACGAGGTTTCAGAGTGATCTTAGATTAAGCTTCCGAGTGATATTAGACAAGGCTTCCGAGTGATCTTAGACGAGGCTTCCGAGTGATCTTAGACGAGGTTTTCGAGTGATCTTAGACAAGGTTTCCAAGTGATCTTAGACGAGTGTTTCAGAGTGATCTTAGACGAGGTTTCAGAGTGATCTTAGATTAAGCTTCCAAGTGATCTTAGGCAGGGTTTCCAAGTGATCTTAGACAAGGCTTCCGAGTGATCTTAGACGAGGTTTCCGAGTGATCTTAGACGAGGTTTCCGAGTGATCTTAGACGAGGTTTCCGAGTGATCTTAGACGGGGTTTCCAAGTGATCTTAGATGGGGTTTCAGAGTGATCTTAGACGAGGTTTCCGGGTGATCTTAGACGGGGTTTCCAAGTGATCTTAGATGGGGTTTCAGAGTGATCTTAGACGAGGTTTCCGAGTGATCTTAGACGAGGTTTCCGAGTGATCTTAGACGAGGTTTCCGAGTGATCTTAGACGAGGTTTCCAAGTGATCTTAGATGAGTGTTTCAGAGTGATCTTAGACGAGGTTTCCGAGTGATCTTAGACAAGGTTTCCAAGTGATCTTAGACGAGTGTTTCAGAGTGATCTTAGACGAGGTTTCAAAGTGATCTTAGATTAAGCTTCCAAGTGATCTTAGGCGGGGTTTCCAAGTGATCTTAGACAAGGCTTCCGAGTGATCTTAGACGAGGTTTCCGAGTGATCTTAGACGAGGTTTCCGAGTGATCTTAGACGGGGTTTCCAAGTGATCTTAGATGGAGTTTCAGAGTGATCTTAGACGAGGTTTCCGAGTGGTCTTAGACGAGGCTTCCGAGTGATCTTAGACGAGGCTTCCGAATGATCACAAGCCAACTGGTAAGATGATAGAGTGATGTTTCACCAACCTATTGAGTCTCGCATTACGTCAAATTTCTGTAATTCATTTCTGTCCTATGCATCAGGGCACTGATTCGTCTGATTAATGCTGATTAATCATGTTAATGACTAACAATAATGATTTATAGAACTTGTTATCCACAAGATTTAAACTAATCTTGTTGATAACAGGAATTATTGATAATATAGCCTAATCTACTATGGATTTAGTCATCTATATAATGAAGATATAGATATATTTGATTGATATTCTCCACAGTGTTTACATTATGTAATACTTCTTATATCGCGCCATATATTATTTACAGTGAATGTCTATAACCGCCATATAACCTGATGGTAATATTTATTGTTTCAGTTAATTCTATTTTACACGATTAAAATATTCGTAAATATTTTATATTTGCCATTTGTCTCTTAGGTTACGCCTTTGTCTCTTTTACATATCTATTAATTTAGAACATTTGGAAGATAGCAATAGATTATACAGACATTTTTCGAATATTTTTACACAAATACAAACCCACACACATGCACTATTTTTGCCCTCAATTATGTCAAGAATTAACTCAAATATATTATACTAATAAAATAATAGATTAAACTATGTATATAATCAAATAAATGCTCACAAAATGTTAAAAAAGAGGAGCAATATATCAGCGGTTCATCCAAGGCGCATCCCGACGCTCACTTGCCGCGCCAGTCAGCTGATTACACACGAAAAGGCGCGAAAGAGGCTCAGGAATTAGCGGGAAAGGCTGTGATTTTGGCGGGCAAAGGTGAGAGCCGGCAAGCCGCGCTTATAATATCAGGACCTTATAGCCTCTCCCTCATACTTATTTTTCAATTTACGAGGAGGACCCGATCATCTTTTTTGTCGTTATTATTGGTCATTGACGGACGGCACTCGGCGCATGCGTCGCTTTGAAGACTCGCGCCTGGGTAAGCCGGCGCTCCATTACCTCCATTTTCCTAGTGATATTCTTCGCCTCTCTACCATTTACGAACATTATTAATGCGTCATTATAGTATAAAAAGCAACGTTGCATAATACAATATGTTTATTAATATGGGACTATGATTTATATATATACATGGTGTATATTTTGGGTAAAGATCTTGGCGTCCAGTAGAGGCGGCCGGATCAGAGGACCCTATTAAGCTCTTCTCTATCCGTGGGGTGGTTAGTGGGGTGGTTAGTGGGGTGGTTAGTGGGGTGGTTAGTGGGGTGGTTAGTGGGGTGGTTAGTGGGCTGGTTAGTGGGCTGGTTAGTGGGGTGGTTAGTGGGGTGGTTAGTGGGCTGGTTAGTGGGGTGGTTAGTGGGGTGGTTAGTGGGGTGGTTAGTGGGCTGGCTAGTGGGGTGGTTAGTAGGCTGGTTAGTGGGCTGGTTAGTGGGGTGGTTAGTGGGGTGGTTAGTGGGGTGGTTAGTGGGCTGGTTAGTGGGGTGGTTAGTGGGGTGGTTAGTGGCCTGGTTAGTGGCCTGGTTAGTGGGGTGGTTAGTGGGCTGGCTAGTGGGGTGGTTAGTGGAGTTGTTAGTGGCCTGGTTAGTGGGCTGGTTAGTGGGGTGGTTAGTGGAGTAGTTAGTGGCCTTGTTAGTGGCCTGGTTAGTGGGCTGGTTAGTGGGCTGGTTAGTGGGGTGGTTAGTGGGCTGGTTAGTGGGCTGGTTAGTGGGCTAGTTAGTGGGCTGGTTAGTGGGCTGGTTAGTGGGCTAGTTAGTGGGCTGGTTAGTGGGCTAGTTAGTGGGCTAGTTAGTGGGTTGGTTACTGGGCTGGTTAGTGGGCTAGTTAGTGGGCTGGTTAGTGGGCTAGTTAGTGAGCTAGTTAGTGGGCTGGTTAGTGGGCTAGTTAGTGGGCTGGTTAGTGGGCTAGTTAGTGGGCTGGCTAGTGGGCTAGTTAGTGGGCTAGTTAGTGGGCTGGTTAGTGGGTTGGTTAGTGGGCTGGTTACTGGGCTGGTTAGTGGGCTGGTTACTGGGCTGGTTAGTGGGCTAGTTAGTGGGCTAGTTAGTGGGCTGGTTAGTGGGCTATTTAGTGGGCTGGTTAGTGGGCTGGTTAGTGGGCTAGTTAGTGGGCTGGTTAGTGGGGTAGTTAGTGGGCTGGTTATTGGGCTAGTTAGTGGGGTAGTTAGTGGGCTGGTTAGTGGGCTAGTTAGTGGGGTAGTTAGTGGGCTGGTTAGTGGGGTAGTTACTGGGCTGGTTAGTGGGGTAGTTAGTGGGCTAGTTAGTGGGGTAGTTAGTGGGCTAGTTAGTGGGCTGGTTAGTGGACTGCTTAGTGGGCTAGTTAGTGGGGTAGTTAGTGGGCTGGTTAGTGGGCTGGTTAGTAGGGTAGTTAGTGGGGTAGTTAGTGGGCTAGTTAGTGGGGTAGTTAGTGGGGTAGTTAGTGGGCTAGTTAGTGGGCTGGTTAGTGGGCTGGTTAGTGGGCTGGTTAGTGGGCTATAGCAGGTTATATTGACTAGCAAGGTCACTATCCTAACCTACCAGAGGACCCAAAACAGAAAACGGGGATAGTGCGTCATTTTCGCCAGCTGCTTCCATTTTCTACTACGACAATTTTTGGCCTTATGTAACGCCTACGGTCGAAAAGCGACGTTCTTGGTAAGAGAACAGGTTGAACTGTATCCTGCCGAGGATACATTTTCCTGCAATTGTGGGATATTTGGCAATGACAGTTTGTGATAGAGTAATTGAGAGCATGATAGTGCGTGCCGGCAACACTGCAGTAGTCAGAGGACGGACTAGTCTCTCTGGTGGAGATGATGAGAGATACATGTATCCTGCCTCACACTTGCCGTGTCTAGACACTGACCAGGAGAGCTACGGTGAAGTGGGTTATGGCAGTTATTTCAAGTGTACGATAAACACAACCCTCACTTGTGGTGCCTGGCGTACGATAAACACAACCCTCACTTGTGGTGCCTGGCGTACGGTAAACACAACACTCACTGATCATGTGACTGACGTACGATAAATACCACGCTCACTGATCATGTGGTGCCTGGCGTACGATAAACACAACACTCACTGATCATGTGGTGCCTGACGTACGATAAACACAACACTCACTGATCATGTGGTGCCTGACGTACGTACGATAAACACAACACTCACTGATCATGTGGTGCCTGACGTACGATAAACACAACACTTACTGATCATGTGGTGCCAGGTGTACGATAAACACAACACTCACTGATCATGTGGTGCCTGGTGTACGATAAACACAACACTCACTGATCATGTGGTGCCTGACGTACGATAAACACAACACTCACTGATCATGTGGTGCCTGACGTACGATAAACACAACACTCACTGATCATGTGGTGCCTGACGTACGATAAACACAACACTCACTGATCATGTGGTGCCTGGTGTACGATAAACACAACACTCACTGATCATGTGGTGCCTGACGTACGATAAACACAACACTCACTGATCATGTGGTGCCTGACGTACGATAAACACAACACTCACTGATCATGTGGTGCCTGGTGTACGATAAACACAACACTCACTGATCATGTGGTGCCTGACGTACGATAAACACAACACTCACTGATCATGTGGTGCCTGGTGTACGATAAACACAACACTCACTGATCATGTGGTGCCTGACGTACGATAAACACAACACTTACTGATCATGTGGTGCCAGGTGTACGATAAACACAACACTCACTGATCATGTGGTGCCTGGTGTACGATAAACACAACACTCACTGATCATGTGGTGCCTGGTGTACGATAAACACAACACTCACTGATCATGTGGTGCCTGACGTACGATAAACACAACACTCACTGATCATGTGGTGCCTGACGTACGATAAACACAACACTTACTGATCATGTGGTGCCAGGTGTACGATAAACACAACACTCACTGATCATGTGGTGCCTGACGTACGATAAACACAACACTCACTGATCATGTGGTGCCTGACGTACGATAAACACAACACTCACTGATCATGTGGTGCCAGGTGTGAGATAAACACGTTTCAATAGGGTCTAAGGCCTGAGAAAAGTATATATATCCTCTTATGTCACTGCTAATCTGTAAATAAACCTAACCTAACCCAACCTAACAATGCCAATTAGAGACAACAAATTTATTAGCTAATTGGGCATCGCATTTTGTCGTACAATATACTTAAGCCAAAAACTGATGTATAAGAAATAGTAGCGGCTCGCAAAATTGACGTGATGCCCCGTTTTCTGTTGGTGGGTTCTCGGGTTGGTTAGGTCCGGGTACTTTGTACAACAGTTTAGTGAGGTTGGCAACGCTGAGGAGGACGGGCCGTAGCATGAACTAGGTGTGTGACGTCACTAAGACGTTGTTCGTGGTGGTGGTTCAGTCGCTGGTGTTGACCAGTCTCGATTCACGAAGCAGTTACGCAGGTACTTACGAACGTGTACATCTTTCCTCAATCTTTGACGGCTTTGGTTACATTTATTAAACAGTTTACAAGCATGAAAACTTGCCAATCAACTGTTGTTATTGTTATAAACAGCCTCCTGGTGCTTCGGAGCTCATTAACTGTTTAATAATTGTAAACAAAGCCGCCAAAGATTGAGAAAAGATGTACAGGGGCCAGATTCACGAAAGCACTTACGCAAGCACTTACGAACGTGTACATCTGTCCTCAATCTTTGACGGCTTTGGTTACATTTATTAAACAGTTTACAAGCATGAAAACTTTCCATTCAACTGTTGTTATTGTTATAAACAGCCTCCTGGTGCTTTGGAGCTCATGAACAGTTTAATAATTGAAAACAAAGCCGCCAAAGATTGAGAAAAGATGTACAGGTTCGTAAGTGTTTGCATAAGTGCTTTCGTGAATCTGGCTCCTGGTTCGTAAGTGCTTGCGTAACTGCTTCGTGAATCTGTCCCCAGGTGGCAAGGCAACTGGTCGCTCGTAATATTATCTCTCAACAACAGCCAGATGATGGATTATTGGAGCACAAGAATGCAAACAGTGCGTCTTGTTCATTGTTTGCAATGAACAATGTTTGCAACACTGTTTCTATGGTTCAAGTTTGCAATATTCGTCACTGCCAGATCCCCTTCGCTATTGGATTTGATAATATAGACATTATAGAATTTAAATATGGTGTTGTATAGTATTTAAATATAATTTTGATATATTTGTGCACGTATCAGACGGATCAGGGATATACACATTACTTGTGTAATGTGTATATCCCTGTTTCTTAATTGTTCTCGTATATGTTGTAAATAATTTTTTTGTAATTTGTTATTTATGTTGTTCACTCAGCTGCTGTTTGTTGGCGATTATATTGCTTTACGTTACTTGATAAGTAAGATGTTTCGGCAAGTTTCTTTTATTTGTTAATATTGTGTTTATTAAAAATTAAGATAAAAATAAACTTGCGTGTGGGATGAGGTGCCATCCTTAGCGTATTGTGTGAGTCCCATATTTACTAATATCACTTTTAGTTAGAAAAGCGAGATGGTTTATATATATATATATATATATATATATATATATATATATATATATATATATATATATATATATGTCGTACCTAGTAGCCAGAACTCACTTTTTGGCCCACTATGCAAGGCCCGATTTGCCTAATAAGCCAAGTTTTCCTGAATTAATATATTTTTTCTAATTTTTTTCTTATGAAATGATAAAGCTACCCATTTCATTATGTATGAGGTCAATTTTTTTTTTGGAGTTAAAATTAACGTAGATATATGACCGAACCTAACCAACCCTACCTAACCTAACCTAACCTATCTTTATAGGTTAGGTTTGGTTAGGTAGCCGAAAAAGTTAGGTTAGGTTAGGTTAGGTAGTCGAAAAACAATTAATTCATGAAAACTTGGCTTATTAGGCAAATCGGGCCTTGCATAGTAGGCCAAAAAGTGAGTTCTGGCTACTAGGTACGACATATATATATATATATATATATATATATATATATATATATATATATATA